CAGGCTCATGACTGTGCAGAGGATGACGAGGCAGGTCCGAGCAGATCAGACTCTGGCTGTTTCAAGACCGCCTCAAAGGATGACGAGGCAGGTCCGAGCAGATCAGACCCTGGATTACCAGGCTCATGACCGTGCAGATCGTGTCGAGGCAGGCCCATGAAGATCAGACCCTGGATGACCAGGCTCATGACGGTGCAGATCGTGTCGAGGCAAGGAAGGGAAGATCAAGTCTGGATGACCAGGCTCGTGACCGTGCAGAGGATGACGAGGCAGGTCCGAGCAGATCAGACCCTGACTGTTTCAAGACCGCCTCAAAGGATGACGAGGCAGGTCCGAGCAGATCAGACCCTGGATTACCAGGCTCATGACCGTGCAGATCGTGTCGGGGCAGGTCCGTGAAGATCAGACCCTGGATGACCAGGCTCATGACCGTGCAGAGGATGACGAGGCAGGTCCGTGAAGATCAGACCCTGGATGACCAGGCTCCTGACCGTGCAGATCGTGTCGAGGCAAGGAAGGGAAGATCAAGTGCTGGATGACCAGCCTCCTGACCGTGCAGATCGTGACGAGCCGAGTCCATGCAGATCAGACCCTTGATGACCAGGCTCATGACTGTGCAGAGGATGACGAGGCAGGTCCGAGCAGATCAGACCCTGGCTGTTTCAAGACCGCCTCAAAGGATGACGAGGCAGGTCCGAGCGGATCAGACCCTGGATGACCAGGCTCATGACGGTGCAGATCGTGTCGAGGCAGGTCTGAGCAGATCAGACCCTGGATGACCAGGCTCCTGCCCGTGCAGATCGTGACGAGGCAGGTCAGAGCGGATCAGACCCTGGATGACCAGGCTCATGACTGTGCAGAGGATGACGAGGCAGGTCCGAGCAGATCAGACCATGGATTACCAGGCTCATGACCGTGCAGATCGTGTCGAGGCAGGTCCGTGAAGATTAGACCCTGGATGACAAGGCTCATGACGGTGCAGATCGTGTCGAGGCAAGGAAGGGAAGATCAAGTGCTGGATGACCAGCCTCCTGACCGTGCAGATCGTGACGAGCCGAGTCCATGCAGATCAGACCCTGAATGACCAGGCTCATGACTGTGCAGAGGATGACGAGCCGAGTCCATGCAGATCCGACCCTTGATGACCAGGCTCATGACTGTGCATCGGATGACGAGGCAGGTCTGAGCAGATCAGACCCTTGATGACAAGGCTCATGACGGTGCAGATCGTGTCGAGGCAAGGAAGGGAAGATCAGACCCTGGATTACCAGGCTTTTGACCGTGCAGATCGTGACGAGCCGAGTCCATGCAGATCAGACCCTTGATGACCAGGCTCATGACTGTGCAGATGATGACGAGGCAGGTCCGAGCAGATCAGACCCTGGCTGTTTCAAGACCGCCTCAAAGGATGACGAGGCAGGTCCGAGCAGATCAGACCCTGGATTACCAGGCTCATGACCGTGCAGATCGTGTCGAGGCAGGCCCGTGAAGATCAGACCCTGGATGATAATAATAATAAATTAGGTGTTTGAACCTCAGAGCTGAAAGCAAAGCTGTGCAACCCCGACATCAAAATCACGACGGCACGCAAAACAACACAAGAGAACAAGACATTTTCATCGGCTTCTATCATGCCGAAAAGTACAAGCGCGAAGAATCACGCACAAGGAAACAAAAATCATGAAAAACGACTAAGTATAACCAGAGATACGGCCATTTGAACCACTAGGCACATAAAAAGGCAGTCACACATCACAACTACAAGCCATCACAGCACAAACATAAAAAACACCACGGCACGCTCACATACAACAAGAGACAGCGTCGGGTTGAAAAGGCAACCGACCACAGAAAGAAAAGTCATCATACAAAGGACTTTACAAAAATTCAGCAAAAATACCACACAAATACAGTCAAAATGTCAGGCTCCAGCACGTCTGGAGGCCGTCTTTGGGTTGCGAGGAAGCGCGTAGGTTTGAGGAAGCGTTTTGAGAGAGGTTTGAGAGACGTCCGTCGGAGCGGAGCGAAAGCTTTGGTGGTGTCTTGAGGTCAATTGAACCAG